GGAGGAACAACCACATGGGGACGAGGATCCGCACGGGCAGAGTGCGCAGCTGGAGAGGGTGCCGCCGGAGTCGGAGCGACGCGCGGTGAGTTGCTCCGGCTCGCGCACGGCAGCAGACACCACGCGCTGCAGATCGGCCATCGTTACTGGCTGATCATACCCCCAGCCGCCACCACGCTGACGCGGCCCCCACCAGCCGCCATGCCCACCGCGGGGTGCTGCCCAGTTCGCATGAGCACCGCGATGACGAGGAGAATTGGGGCCACGCCACGACGTTTCACGCTCGTCACGTGGCGCAGGGGATTGAGGCCACTGCTGACGACGGCCAGGAGACGACGGTCGCTGCGCAGGAGGAACCGCTGCAGACAGCGCAAGGGGAGCAGCCACAAGTGGCGAAGGAGGAGCATGCGCCGGTGGCGCAGGATGAGCAGCCGCAGGGGGGGCAAGAGGAGGTCCCGACAGCACAGGCGGAGGAGGCGCCAGTGTCGCCACTGACGGAGGGGCGGGAGCGGCGGGGAGCGCCGTAGGGTCTAGGATGACAGTGGTGGCGGACTCCACCGACTGTGCCACCACGCCGCCATCAACAACTGCCAGCACGCCGCCCACAGACGGAGCGGCGAGGTCGGCAGTTGGAGGCACGACAGGCAGAACGTCAGCAGCAGGGGGCACCAATGGAGGAGCGGCAGGAGCGACGGGAAGAGCAGCAAGCGCGACGGGAAGAGCATCAGATGCAGGAACCTGGTGACCGCCTTCGCAAAGCGACGGTCCGGGGGGAGGAGGGTTTTCAGCGGCTCCTATTACGGGCTTCGGAGCAGACGGCGGCGGGCACCCTGTCGCCATGGTCCCCGTTCCGTAGGCAGACGGTGGCCTTTCGAACGCAATTGACGCAGCGCCAGCGCGCAATGGCGAGTAGTCGGTCACTCCAGCAATCACCATCGCAGGGTCGAGGAGTGCAAGGCAGAGGGAGAGAAGCATCTAGCGAAGTTGGAGGAGGGCCAAAGAATGGCTTCCAGGCGGAGGCAAGAAGGGCTTTGAACGCGCTGGAGAATGACGACAATGAACATATGGACCCCTCTTATAGGGAGGAGCCCGTCCCTGCCAGTGAAGATGAAGGGACAGAAGGAGATGAAGGCACGAGGGAGACCGTTGCGAGGATGGGAGCAGGGACAAGGCAGTCTCTCGCACAGCGAGGCGACCCTGCTCGCGGACCATCCGATGCTGATCGTACGGGCGAGCTTCCAACCACACAACTACGAGCCAGGACGAGCCGCTCCCGGCGAAATCGGACTGCGACAGACGCGCCCGTGGCGCGAGAAATTCTCCAATTCCCCCGCTATTTCACGCCAGAGGAGTTGGCGATACGGGCAGACTTGTTGGCTGACATCGCGAGCTGGGTTATCCCAGCCCTTTGCGATAGTCAGCAGCCGCCCCTGGCACGCCGGTTACCGCCAAACCTGTGTCAGTTGTTTTCGCTGGCGCTACTGAAACCGTTACTCCACCTGTCACGAAACCCGGAATCAGAGGCAGGTTGGCGCCTTCTCCTCTTTCTCCCGTGCCTGACACTTCGCCAAAAGTCGCCACAGCGACCGAACTAGCCCTAGATCAAGGCCCGGCTCCGAGCCTTCCAGCGTGGCGAATGGGACCAACTGTACAAAGAGGCGATTGACGCAGTCAACACACCAGCGCCACCGTGTCATCAGCCCGATGCTACTGGGGCCATTAGCCGAGCCGAGGGCCTGGCGAAACGTGGCAGCCTGCACCGAGCTGTGTTGGCATTGGAGTCAACGCCAGTCTACACACTGACCCCAGAAATCCTGGACGAGCTTTGTCGGAAACACCCACCGGCCGAACCAGGGACGACAACGTGGCCGCCCTCGCGAGAGTCAAAGCTGTCTATCACCCACGCGGACTTCGCAAAACTCCTGGGGAGATGCAAAAACAGGGTCGGTGCCGGACCTTCGGGTACGACTTTTGAGCACATGCGCGACGCGGCAATCACGGATGGACGGGTCAGCACCCATCTGCACGCATTGATAAACACCATTTGGGGGGCAACCTTCCAGGTCCAGTGGCGGACCTACTCCTTCACGGCTCATAGCTTTGGCCAAACCTGGGGGGGGGGGGGTGGTGGCCAATTGCTATAGGCGAGTGCATCACTCGGCTGTCAGCCAAGGCTGCCGTCACAGCCATGGGAGACGCCACTCGTGATTACTTCCTGCCCCTACAGTACGGAGTTGCAGTGCTAGGGGGAGCTGAGGCAGTTATCCACACGGCGTGGGCATTTCTTGACAAACTGCCCAACAGCCTGGTACTGCAGACCGACATCTCAAATGCATTCAATAGTATCTTACGACAGGCCATCGCAACGTCGTTATAGGAGCCCGGGCTTACGCCTTTGGTACCGCTGGTGAAACTGACATATGGTAACCCGTCGAAGTTGCATCTTGACGCAAATTTCGAATGCGAACCACTGACTAGTGAACGGGGCGTACGCCAAGGCGACCCACTTGGCCCATTATTGTTCGCAGCAGGAATACACCCAACGCTTTGTGACATCGCCAAGGCATACCCCCACGTGCTTTGTCTGGCCTACGTGGACGATGTCACGTTTCTTGGAAGTTCGGCAGACACTGTATCAGCATTCAACCATTTCACCGACTGATTGGCTTAACTGGGTCTGACACACAACCCGCAAAAATGAGCAGCCTGGAGCAGAGCCGCAGCAGTAAACTACCAGCTTCCGCCTGGAGTGCCTTTTTTCCAGGACGGAGCGCGGCTTCTGGGAAGTTTCGTAGGCCCAGACAGCTGGGCGGCGCGGTTCCTGTCAGGCCAGCTGCAGGAAATGGCAAAGCCGCTACCTCTCCTTGAGAAAGCCGACCCCCAGGTAGCATCGGGTGGCGTACCTCACCAGGACGACACCGCTCCACCTGCTGCCTCGCAATACCTGGAGCCAGTGGGGGATGGAATTGCTTACCGCGTTACTGACGACATGCGACATTTGCGTTCCTACCTGCCGCACCGAGCAAGCACACGTTTGGGCGCAAGCGTCTCTGCCGTCATCACTGGGGCGAATAGGTATTACAGACCCCTTAATCGAAGGAATGTATGGCTACACAGCGAGCTTCACCCAGGCCGCACTTTTTCTGGCATCACTAGAGTGTGCCCCTCAGGGCGCGCTGATGCAGGCCCGGGACCACATGTTGCTGCCCGCAGATGTCACCACACCTCTCCACGCGTGGCTTACTGAGTGTGAAGCGGCATTACCCTTGGTTGCACGGGAAATCCTGGAGAAAAAGTGGCTGGAGCGGTCAGACATTAGACTCCAGCACGCACTGGCACTGAAGGTACACGGGAGCAGGTATTCCGTGCAAGTTAAGGAAACACGACAGATGACACTGAACCCTCTGTACGGCCACACGCAAAGGATGTTCTCTCTGACCGGTTACGGGACCGGGGACTGGCTGACGGCTATCCCCATTGCGGCGAACAGGACGATAGGGCCCATTCACTTTTCCAATGCCGTGTGCTTCCGGCTGGCTCTTCCCTTCTCTACGCCAAAAAACTGTGACTGCTTAGACCTATCACGGACCCCCGCCTCCCAAACCGCCTTCTGCGCTGTAGCATGGGCAAGCACCGCATCAACACCCATAACGAGCTGCGGGATGCTTGTATAAGCATGGCACAAGATGCGGGGTTCATTGTCCACAGCGAGAAAATGGCATACTGCCCCATTGAGGAACAGACCGCCGGTTTTACGATGACGGACATAAGCAGCGGGGCTGTCTACGTATGTGACGTTACAATTACAGACCCAATTAGTACCAGAGACCCGAAGGCACAAAAGGGTGGGGGGGGGGGTGGCTGGGCGGCACGCGAGCAGGCCGATAGGAAGATCAAGCATTACGCTGCCCGGCAAGAGACAGTGAATTTCTTCCCTCTGGCGGTGGATACTTATGGCTGCCCCTGTGCAGAGGTGCCGGTCTTCCTGAAAATCTTGGCGAATACTACAGCTAGGCGCCACTTCAACACTGACTCTATGCTGCTTAATTCCTGCACCAGTTCAGGCAACATTGGTCAGTGGCCCTTCAAAGGGCCTAATCTGTGGAACTTCTTCTCAACATTGGTCAGTGGCCCTTCGCAGTCATTGAGCCCCTAGTGGAGTTGTAGATCTGATATGCTTATGCCTTGCTTGTTTGTTACCTATGACTCTAGGACCTGCATGCTTGTACTTGGTGGCTATATCAATACAAGGACCATTAGAGAGAGAGAGGCATCTAGTGACTTAGCCTCTCAAGCCTCCCCTCAGCCTCCCTAGCCTCTCTAGCCCTAGTATAAAGGCCCTAGAGGCCTGGTTTCATCTCCATTATTCAGTTTTGGGTTCAGTTCTTCTCCCAAACCGAGCGGCTCGCGCCGGCCGCCTTCGGCGGCCGACGCTCGACAGCGCGGCCTTCGGCCGCGCGTGAGGGGTGGCAAGACACACTCAAGTAGCTACAAGCACAAGACATCACACGCATGGCACTGGTGGCTAGCTACTAAGTTCAAACATGGAACAAGCAGCGGCGGATTCTACATCCGATCCGCCTCAAGAACGGCAAGGAGCCCAGCCTGGGTGCGATGCAACTCCAGCACCACCTCCGTGCTTGCGGCGATCACGTCGCCTCCAGTCCCTGCGCGCAAAGACGGGTGCAAACCACGGACGGCCGCACCAAGCTGGCCTACACCCGCAACTCCTCCCCTCGCGGGCGCAGCCAGCACGGGCGCCAGGACCTCCGCGAGCTGATCAGCAACTTCAAGGCCCTCGTCAAGAGGACCACGACCGCGGGAGAGAGCAAGGTGGGTCAAGTGAATGGCACGCAGGCTCTCCGAGAGGCGCCACAGCTGCCCCAAGGTCGCCTCAGGGACCTCCACTCGACGAAGTGGGGGTGCCCACTGCAGCAGAGAGCGAGCCACCGGCGCGGCAGCTTGGACCGCCAGAACAGGAGGAGGAGGTGCAGCTGCCGATGGGGCATTTACAGGGACGGCAGGAGGAGGGGGAGCTACAAGGGCAGGTGCGACCGGCAATGAGCTGCTCTGACTCGCTTGCCCCGCCCTCTCCTAGCGCATTGCAGCTGACACAACCCGCTGCACGTCCGCAAGCGTCAACGGCTGCGCATACGCACCGCCCCCTCCACGCCCACGACCCCCCCTCCAACCACCACGACCGCCGTGGTGAGAATCCCAGTGTGCAGGGGGAGGATGGCGCTGAGGAGAGTCACGACGACGACGCGCCGACTCACGCTCTGCTGACCGAGACGGGGAGGGGTGATGTGAATGGCGGCGACCAGGCGACGGCGGACGGCGAGCAGGCTGAGGCGCAGACGCCACCGGAGCCGGCACGGTTGCGGCCGCCTCCCCCGCCACTGCCGGAGCCAGGACAGCGGTGGTGGCGGACGGCGGAGGGAACGCCAATCCGTTGGCCGGAGGCGGCGCAGAAGGCACAGCGACAGCAGAAGTCGCGGGGCGCACACCAGCAGGGGAACCAGCGGCCGGAGCAGAGGAGGTCGGCGCCGCAGGCGGGGGTGGTGTCGCAGCAGCGGGCACAGCAGCCAGAGCCGATATCGTTGCCCCAGCAGGGGCAGGGGGTGACTCCGCAGCAGGAGCGGATTGTGCAATCGTCGGGGCAGGGGTCGGCGGTCCGGCAGGCGGAGGAGACGGCGCCGCAGCGGGCGCAGGGGAAGGCGCCTCCACAGGCGCGAGAGGTAGCGCCACAGCGGGAGCAGGAGGCGGCGCGACAGGCGCAGGGCTCTGCGCACCAGCAGACGCAGCAGGCAGCGACGCGGCTGGCGCAGGCGCGGACACACCAACGGACAGGGGTGTTGCCGCCAATATCGGAGGAGGGACAGGGCCGGCAGGGGGAGCCGAGGCCGGCTTCGCCTCTGGGGGGGCCATTGGGGTCGACACAACCAGCGGGGCACTCACAGCTGACGCCACGACAAAGGGCCTTGGCGAATACGAGAAATCGGCCCCAAGTGACACAGGCATCACGACGCGGGCGAGGCGCTGGGCGGCAGTCTACGAGAGGACGTGGCGGAGGGCCTGAGAATGCGTTCCAACAAGCTGTGCGAAGGGCTTTAACACTAAGGAATGAGGATGACGAGGCACGCGATGCCTAATTTATTCCCTCCGAAGAAGCCGAGTCCACCACAGATGACTCGGCTGAGGAGAGGAGTCCGTCAAGCGGAAGGCGACCAACCCCAATTCGAGCCGCGCAAGAAATCGGTGTTGGCCCAGGAAATCGAGCCGCATCTGCAGAAATTCTCCCCTCCTCCCGAGCCGCCACATTGAATGCAACATCTGATCGCGCCACCAATCCCAACCCAACCCAACCCACCACCGCACCGCCAAACCGCTCGCAACCACCTATGGAAAAATCACCTGAGGCGCTGGCAGCAGACAACGCGCTATTTGCTGCCGTGGAAACCTGGGACCTGACGAAACTCTGCGATAGTCGCAACGCACCCCTGCCACGCCATCTCCCACAGGACATTCGCCCCATTTTCGCGACTGCGCTGCTTGCTCCTCTACTCCGACTGGCTGATGACCCAGAATCAGTGACAGCGTAGACAGTTTTTCTGTTCCTCGCACGCCTGACGCTGAGACAACACACCCCTCAAAAACCCGATTGGCCTGCAGTCAGAGCAAGACTTCGACAGTTCTTGGCGGGGGAGTGGAGTGCACTGTACTCTGACACGCTAGACTCTCTGACTTACCCTCAAGCGCCCAGGCACACCGCTGACGACATCGGAGTGATTGCAAGGGCAGAGGGCCTTGCGCGACGTGGCAGCCTCAGGCGCGCGGTTCTGGCACTGGAGGCGACGCCGGTGTGCACCCCATCACCAGCAATCTTGGATGCACTGCGCGCCAAGCACCCACCTGCACCTGACGCACCCCTGGTTTGGCCAGCACCTGACCCCAACGCCCACTTGACTGCCACCCTGCCCGAGTTTCTCAAAGTGCTGTCATGATGCGACAATGGGATTGGGGCGGGCCCATCGGGCCTGACATTCGAACACTTGCGGGAGGCCTGCCTAGTCAACCAGTCAGTGGCGACAAACATCCATGCAATGGTGAACACCATTCTGACAGGGAAACTGCCACCAACTGTCGCCAGCATCCTTACAGCATCGCGCCTACTGGCTCTCTCCAAACCGGACGGGGGGACAAGGCCAATTGCTATTGGAGAGAGCATTACCAGGCTCGCTGCCAAAACGGCCCTGATGTTGACAGCGGGGGCTGCGAGAAAAAATTTCATGCCACACCAGTTTGGCGTGGCAGTACCTGGGGGAGCGGAAGCGGTAATCCACATCACCCGCGCCTACCTATCTGAAAAACCATCTGCTCTAGCCCTCCAGGTGGACCTAGCGAACGCCTTTAACAGTGTCAACCGCTCCGCAATAGCATCGGCGCTAGACAATTCTGCTCTAGCACCACTACTGCCACTAGTACAGCTCACCTACGGGGCTCCCTCACTGCTCTACCTGGATGAGGGGTTCAAGCATGAGCCCCTGCTAAGCATGACGGGAGTTCGGCAGGGAGACCCACTGGGGCCACTGCTATTTGCAGCTGCAATCAACCCCGCGCTAGAAGCTACAGCCCAAGCCTTCCCAACCGTAGCCTGCCTAGCATACGCGGACGACGTCACTTTCCTAGGGGAGCATCACACCTGCGTAGCAGCGTTTCGACACTTCACAGACAACCTCAAGTCAATCGGGCTTCATCATAACCCATCCAAATGCGCAGCCACGTCACTGTCAGGCCTCCCAACCACCGCCTTATCAGAGGGTGTCCCGTTTGCTGGAAACGGCGTGAAGGTGCTGGGCAGTTTCATAGGCTCGGATGACGCCACAGCAGATTTTATCTGCTCAAACCTAAGCTCCATGGCGGCACCTCTCGGTCTGATAGGACGGATGGAACCCCAGCTAGCAGCCCTTCTACTCTCCAAGTGTATCTCAAGAAGGGTCTCTTACCTCATCCGGACCACACCCCTCATGCACTTGCCACTGGATGAGTGGTCCGGTTGGGGAAGGCAGCTGTTTGAGACTCTTTTAATGGCATGGGGCATCAGGCATCCGCGGGGAGACGCTGAAATCTCCCGTACATGGTCCCAAGCTTCGCTGCCGGTATCACTCGGAGGCCTCGGAATCACGGACCCTGCGGTAGAGGGCAGCTACAGCTACCTAGCAAGCTTTAACCAGGCACAGCAGCTGCTCTCAACTCTCGAAGATAGCCAGTTAGGGCCCCTGGCGGAGACACGAGTACAGATGACGGGGCCGTACACAGACTCCTGCGCTCTCTACGGCTGGCTAGCTCGCTGCGAGGCAGACTTACCAGGTGATGCACGGGAGCTGCTTCAAACAGACAGGGCTGCTCCCACGGGTGTGAAGCTGCAGCAGGGACTAGAGTTGGCGGTTCAGGGCAGGAGGTATGCAAACCAAGTGGAGAACACACGTAGCATGACCCCAAACCCCAACTGTGGCCACACGCAGCGCCTTCTCTCCCTGTCAGGGTACGGAGCTGGGGATTGGCTCCACGCAGTTCCGCTCATGCCCTCCCTGAGGCTTGACGGTCCCCACTTTGCCACAGCCCTCCAGCTCAGGTTGGGACTTCCATTTTCATCCCCAGGGGCCTGCGACTGCACCAAACAGGTCCCCATACCTGACAAACGGTTACCAAACCATCTGCTACGCTGCGCCACAGGAGGAGGACGGACAAACACTCATAACGAGCTGAGGGATGAGTGTGTCAGGATGGCACAGTACGCTGGGTTCATGGTGCACAAGGAAACGTCGGAGTTCTGCCCGGTCACTAGGAAGACAGCGGACCTAGCTATCCGAGATCGGTCCTCAGGGGCAGTATGGATAGGGGACGTCACCATCACTGACCCCATCAGCACGCGCGACCCCAACGCGGTGAAAGGGAGGGGGTGGGCTGCCAGGGAAGCCGCGGAAAAAAAATTATCAGATTACAGGGGCTCCCCGGCAGCCTACGTAGAATTCGTACCCCTTGCAGTCGAGACCTATGGCTGCCCATGCGCTGAGGTCCCCGCTTTCCTAAAGCTATTGGCCCACACAGATGCACGCAAGCTTTTTAACGCCGACCCTTCGACCTACCAAGCGGCAAAGCTACTCAACCAGTTCCGCCAGCGTTGGTCGGTCGCTCTTCAGCGGGGGCAGGCCATAAGCTACATGGCCAAGTGCAACCTGGCAGCCGAGGCCCAGAACCCCCTGGTCGGGGCCCCCGGAGAGGAAATGTCCCTGGGGGACTGTTTTGCCGTGCTGGAGCCCACTGTCGAGCTCCCTTAGGAGCCTTGGGGGGGGGGGGGGGGGGGTCTATAGGTTGTTCTTGGGCTTTGGTTTGCTTCTAGGTTGTTTGTAGTCTCTGCCTTGCTTGTTTGTACTCGCTCTTTATATCAATACAAGGACCGCTTGAGAGAGAGAGAGAGGAAATTTCGGATGCTGGCTACCCATGCGGCTAAGACGAAATTTCGGAAAGGTCGCCTCACCACCACTGCAGCTCGGCTCACGGCACACTACCGCCAGGGATGGTCGGTGATGCTGCAGCGCAGCCAAGCCATCTCACTCCTCTCCAAGTCCAACCGTGCGGCGGAGGCGGCCTTCCCACAGGCGGCAGGGGACCCGTGGGCACCACGACTGGGAGACCTCTGGCAGATGACAGAGGACGAGTACGAGGAGCGGGTAGCTCCTGCCAGAGCGGCTGAGAGGGGCAGGGGTGAAAGTATGGTGGCGGGTGGAAGGTAGTAGGAAGCTGCAGGGGGCGGAGGAGACTAAGGCAGGGGGACGGGCCACATGGACAGGAGGAGAGGGAGGTATCCGGGGCCTAGGGGGTCTTGCCGGCCGGCGGGGTTCAGTGTGTACACACACACGGCGTGACTGCTGCGGTTTGCACTGCCTGGTTGTATTGTCTTCGCTGCCTCTCTGCATGTTTTGGTCTGATTGGTTGTTTGTCTGTTAGCTTTTGGTAGCTGGCCGCCTGCATGCCTAGACTGATGAGCCACATACCACCACCTGCCATGTCTGTACCACAGGACCATTATCAATACATGACTGCTTTAGAGAGAGATGGCTTGGGACTAGTCCTTAGCCGTTTTTCAGCCTCTCGGCCGCGCGTGAGGGGTGGCACGGGAGATACGGCAGGGTATAAATACGATATGGGATACAACATGCAGTGAGACTACCTGCAACAACTACAACACCCCCAGGCAGGGAACCTACGCCATGGGGAAGCCCAAACCCAGGCCGGAATTGAAGACGGCTGGGAAGGGAAAAGCGCCCGCTACTCGGCCACAATCCAAGCAAGCCGCCCGTCCATCCAGCGGAGCATGATGCGACTGCAGGCACGATGTCGTGAGGAGCCTGCAAGGCGACAAGGGCCAGCTGCCTCAGAGAAGCAAGACCAGGCCCCAGAGCGGAACCGGGAGAGCCCGGCACTAGCCCAATCAAAGGCAGCATCCGCAGTATCTGCACTCCCGCTGCCGCTGCCTCCTCTTGCTCCTGCTGCGACATTGCCGGGGTCGCAGCTACAGGCCGCGACAGCCGTGACTGGTATACATGTAGCTGGTCAAGGACCATCGCTAGCAGGGTCAAGCAAGTCCCTACGTGCCCAACGCGTTTCTCGACGCGCCGACGCCGGGGGGAGCGTGTCAAACATTATACATGTTGTATTTGTGTAGGCTGTAGTGGGTTAGCCTATAGGGGGGTCACAACATTAGGGTTTCATATTTGTACTCACAATCCTTGCTAGTCCATCATTCCAGTCCGTTATTTCTGACATGGTATCAGAGCAGGTCCTTCGCTAGGACCGTTCTTAGGGCCCACCGTTACCTACATACCTACCTACCTACCGTGCGCCTCGTGCGCCTACGCGCCCTCGTGCGCCTCCTACCTACCGCGCGCGCGCAGCCCGCCAGCCGCCCGCGCGCGACTCGACTTTTTTTTTAGCGCGCGTATCCCGCTAGCCGCCCGCGCGCGGTCGATTTCGCTGCGCGCGCCCCGCTAGCCGCACGCGCGCGGCTGTTTTCTTTACGCGCGGCCCCGCACGCTGCCCGCGCGCTGCCTGTGCGCCTCGCTGACGCGCCCGCTGCTGCAGCCGCCCGTCGCCCGCTCGCGCACACCCCGCCGTGGCCCCGCAGGCCCGCAGCTCGCCGCCGCAGCTGCCGCACGCCCGTTGCCCGCAGCCGCCCGTCCGCCGACGCCGCTGCCGCCCGTGCACCGACGCCGCTGCCACCCGTGCGCTGCTGCCGCTGCTGCTTGCGCACCGCTCGCTGCTGCAGCCGCCCGTGCGCTGTCGGCGCTGCTGCCCGTGCGTATAAGCCCGTCGCCTGCTCGCGCACGCCCCGCTGCCCGCAGCCGCTCGTACGCCGCTGCTTCCGCTGCTGCTTGCGCACTGCTGCCTCCCGAGCGCCGCCGCTGCCTGTGCGCCGCCGCTGCCCGTGCGCCGTCGCTGCTCCTACGCTGCCGCTGCCCGTGCGCTGCCGCTGCCCGTGCACCGCCGTTCCCCGTGCGCCGCTGCCGCCCGTGCGCTTCTGCAGCCGCCGCCCGCGAGGCACTCGCTCTCACTGTTGTTTATTTTCTACCTACCGTGCACACTGCTGCCACTGCAGCTGCCACCAGTGCACCGTTGCAGCTCCTGCTGCCACGCTACCTACTACTGCCGCTCGTGTGCCACTACGGACAGTCGACCCCGCCCGCGCCTTGCCTAGCGGCCCCGCCGGCCCCGTTGACCCTCCGCACACCTTTCCAGCGGCCTGCTTCCTACTACTACTGTTACTACTGCTACTACTGCTACTGCTACTGTCGCTATGGCTAGTCCGCCAGTTCTAGCTTTCGATGCCGAGGGCCGTCCAGTGAAGTTCGAAACCTGGCTAGATGACCTGCACCTGTTCCTACAGCTCACTGCCAAGGAAGATATCTCACTGTACGACCACGCCCTAGGCCATGCTACTGCCCCTGACTCGTCTGCTGACAGCACTCTGCGTTCTCAGTGGCAGACCCGTGATGCGCACGCTCGCTTTGCTATTTGCAACTCCCTGCCGCTAGACGAGCGCGAGCACTTCGGCCAGTGCAAGACTGCTAAGGACCTCTACACCGCTGTAGTTGCCCGCTACTCCTCGCCCGCTTCTGCCACGCTAGGCCGCCTCACTCTCCCCTACCTGTTCCCTGACCTAGCCTCCTTTCACACTGTCGCAGACCTCATCACCCACCTTAAGACTAGTGAGGCCCGCTTTCGCGCTGCTATGCCTGCCGAGTTTCTCACTAGCAACCCCCCCCCGCTCTGGATCACTCTCTACCACATCGTCACCCGCCTCCCTGACTCTCTGCGCGCAGTCAGGGACCACTTCCTCTCTCGCTCCCCCACTGAGCTCACTGTTGCCCTCCTCGAGAAGGAACTGCTTGCAGCTGAGGCGAGCATCGTCGCTGTAGGCACCTCTCGTGGCGACCCCCGCACCCCGTTCTTTGAGGGGTGTTCCCCTTCCCCCCTCCTCCCCTCTGTCGCCTCTGCTGCTGCTGTCGACCTTCTTGGTGCTGAGAAGGTCGGGACCGCGTCTGCTTCGAGCGGGCGCCGCAGGAACAAGGGGGGCAGGGGTGGGGGTGGCGGCGGAGGAGGTGGGGGTGGAGGCGGTGGGAGTGGAGGTGCGGCTGGGGAGACTAGTGGCGGTAGTGGGGGAGGAGACAGCGGCGGTGGGAGTGGTGGTGGAGGCGGCAGCGGAGGCGGAGGTGGTCGTGGCGGCGGCAGGGGTGGAGGTGGCCGGGGCGGCGGCGGTGGGGGTGGTGGTCGTGGAGGCACTGGCGGAGGGCAGAGTCAGCAGCCCGCCCCGACGCTTCAGGCCGCCCGTGAGTGGTATGCGCAGCGTAGCGTTACCTGCACGTACGTCATTCGCACAGGTGACCGCAGCGGCCAGCAGTGTGGGAGGCCGCACCCCACGCAGCGCTGCTTCGCGCGCCTTAACGACGCGTGGCGCACTCAGTTTCCTGCTGCCACTGAGCTGCCGCGCTGGGCTGATCTGGAAAAGAGGGGTGTTGATATTTGGGCTTTAGACTTTGATGCTATTCTCACTGCCATGTATGCGATGTCTATTAGTGGAGAGGGTGCTCAGTACTTGCGTGTTCCGCCCGACCCGGGCATTCAGGCCAGTCCGGCTGCCGCTCTAGGTGCTAGTGCGTCTGCTCCCACAGGTCCTGGTGAGGCTGCAGCCCTAGGTGCTCGTGCGTCCGTGCCCCCTGGTACTGAGTCGACTGCAGCACTGCACACCTTCACACTGGACTCAGGTGCTTCTCGCTCCTTCTTTCGTGACCGCACTGTCCTTGAGCCACTCGCTCGGCCAGTTGCTGTCTCCCTTGCTGACCCCTCTGGGGGTCCGGTCATTGCGACCTCCTCCACTGTCCTTCCTTGTCCGGCGGTCCCGTCCGGCACGCTGTCAGGTCTCTACCTCCCCTCGTTCTCTACGAACTTGGTGGCGGGTAGTGCGCTCCAGGACAGGGGTGTTCACCAGTTCACCCCTGCCTACGAGCGCGTGACACACTGCACGTGTGCTCGGACGGGTCGCCACCTGGCTACCTTCACTCGGGAGCCGGGGTCGGACCTTTACACACTGACCACTGAGTCCCCTCAGGTAGCTGCGTCCGCGTCTGCGTCTGCGTCAGGTCAGTTGTCCGCCCCCTGCTCGTGTCGCTCTCTGGCGCATGAGACTGTCCTTTGGCACCACCGCCTTGGTCACCCGTCTGTGCAGCGCCTTCGGGCCATGCACAAACGGGACCTTGTTGCTGGTCTTCCCAGGGTGCTCCCTCCCCTTCCCGACTCGCCTGCTCCTCCCTGTATTCCCTGTGTTGAGGGACGGCAGCGCGCCGCTCCTCACTCCTCCTCCTTTCCCCCGACGACTGCTCCCTTGCAGACGCTCCACATGGACGTGTGGGGCCCAGCCCGCGTCCGTGGTCAGGGTCAGGAGAGGTACTTTCTGATTGTTGTTGACGACTTCTCGCGCTACACCACGGTCTTCCCTTGCACGCCAAGGGTGACGTCCCTGATGTCTTGATCCCTTGGATCCGCAGATCTCGTCTCCAGCTCCGTGAGCGTTTCCGCTCTGACTTCCCTGTCCTGCGTCTGCACTCTGACAGAGGTGGGGAGTTTTCCTCTGGCCTATTGGAGGCCTTCTGTCAGCAGGAGGGCATTGAGCAGTCGTACACGCTTCCGGCCTCTCCACAGCAGAATGGGGTTGCTGAGCGCCGCATTGGTCTGGTCATGGAGGTCGCTCGTACCTCCTAAAGCCATGCGGCTGCCCCCCATTTTCTGTGGCCGTTTGCAGTCCGATACGCTGCGCATCAGCTCAACCTCTGGCCCCGTGTCTCCTTGCCCGAGACTTCTCCGACACTGCGTTGGACGGGAGAGGCTGGCGATGCGTCGCGTTTTCGGGTCTGGGGATCCCGAGCTTTTGTCCGCGACACGTCCGCGGACAAGCTCTCCCGTCGCGCTGTCCCCTGCGTCTTCCTTGGCTTTGTCCCGGACGCCCCTGGCTGGCAGTTCTACCACCCCACCTCGCGTCGTGTCCTGGCCTCTCAGGACGTCACTTTTGACGAGTCCGTCCCCTACTACCGCCTCTTCCCCTACCGCACTGCCCCGCTCCCCCCCCCGCCTCTCTTCCTCGCTCCAGGTGCTGAGGTACCAGACCCCCTCCCCCCTCAGGGTGCCGCTCCCTCAGGTGTGTCCCAGGTAGACCCGGGTGAGCCTGTCGAGGTAGCTGTTGACTCTCGTCCTGCTAGGGGTGCTGAGCCTGGGGGTGCTGCGTCTGGGGGTGCTGAGCCTGGGGGTGCTGCGTCTGGGGGTGCTGAGCCTGGGAGTGCTGAGTCTGGGGGTGCGGAGCCTGGGGGTGCTGAGCCAGGAGGTGCGGAGCCTGGAGGTGCGGAGCCTGGAGGTGCTGAGTCTGGGGGTGCTGAGTCTGGGGGTGCTGAGCCTGAGCGTGCTACACCTGGAGGAGCCCTCTCCTCCCAGCAGCTGCAGGAGAGGTACCTCGAGTACTGCCGCCTCCGGAGAGGTACTGCTGGAGCTCGTCCCGGTACTTCCCCTCCTACCCAGGAGCTCCCCCCCATTCAGCAGATCCGCGAGTGGTACACACGGCGCTGCAGTCTTCGGAGTGGTGCTCCTGGTGCTGCGGACCCTGGGGGTGGCGCTGCTGCTGGTGCTGAGGACCCGGACGTGGGAGCTGCTGCTGGTGCTGCGGACCCGCCTGGTGGAGCTGCTGCTGGTGCTGAGGACTCGGACGTTGGAGCTGCTGCTGGTGCTGAGGATCCGGACGGTGGCGCTGCTGCTGGTGCTGAGGACCCGGACGGTGGAGCTGCTGCTGGTGCTGAGGACTCGGACGGTGGAGCTGCTGCTGGAGCTGAGGACCCGAGCGGTGGCACTGCTGCTGCTGCTGAGGACCCGGGCGTTGGAGCTACTACTGGTGCTGAGGACCCGGCCGGTGGAGCTGCTACTGGTGCTGTGGACCCGGACGCTGGAGCTCCTACTGGTACTGAGGACCCGGCCGCTGGAGTCTCCTCTGCTTCCGGAGACGCTGCGCGGCCGCGACCGTACTTCGTACCGCTCCTTCAGCAGGTTCTTGGGCAGGCTCCTCCTCCTTGTCCTCCTCCCTCCGTAGAGTGTCCTCCGCCTGTCCGGCCGCAGTCACAGTTACCACCTACCTCGCCTCTCCCTGCTCCCTCTCCTTACACTGGTCCCACAGGAGGTCTTACAGAGCGTCGTGAGCCTGAGTCTCGTCCTGCGTCGCCTGTTCGTCCTGCTCGCACTGGTAGTCGTGTCCGTCGTGAGCGTCCTCCTCCTGTCCCAGGCACTCACTACATGACTCTGCGTCCCTCTACTGCTCCTCAGCGTGTCCCTCTACCGTCTCCTCCTGCGTCCTCTTTGCCTGACGTTCCGGACCCTGAGTCTGACCGGTATCGTGCTGAGCACCCTACTGTCACGCGTCTCCTTGCTACTGTTGTCACTGACCCTACCTTTGAGTCCTCGGCTGCGTCTGCTCTGGTCGCTGAGTTGGTTGACTTTGCTGCTGCCTGTCATCTAGACTACGCTGCTAGCCTTGTTGCTGAGTCTGAGTCTGTCTGTCCTCCGTCCGTCGGGGGTGAGTGTGCTCTTGGCACGGACGTCCTTGAGGACAGACAGGAGGAGTTCCAGTGTCTTGCTGCTGCTTTGCCCCGTCTCGTGTCCTTGCTAGTTGCCCCTGAGGGAGACCCGGATGCACCAGACATCCCGACCCCGCGCACTTACGCTGAGGCGATGGCGGGTCCCTACTCCTCTCAGTGGCAGACAGCCATGGACGCCGAGATGGCTTCCTGGAAGTCCACACGCACCTACGTAGACGAGGTTCCCCCTCCTGGGGCGAACATCGTCAGTGGCATGTGGATTTTCAGGGTGAAGCGGCCGCCGGGTTCTCCTCCTGTCTTCAAGGCGTGCTACGTGGCTCGAGGCTTCAGTCAGCGAGAGGGAGTTGACTTCTTCCAGACCTTCTCCCCCACCCCGAAGATGACCACTCTTCGGGTGCTGCTGCACATAGCCGCTCACCGCGACTACGAGCTTCACTCACTTGACTTCAGCACTGCTTTCTTGCAGGGCAGCCTGCACGAGGAGATCTGGCTGCGCCGCCCACCTGGCTTCACTGGGTCGTTTCCTCCTGGTACCCAGTGGAGGCTTCAGCGGCCGGTCTACGGTCTCCGCCAGGCTCCGCGTGAGTGGCACGACACACTGAGGACTACACTTGCGGCTCTTGGGTTCGCGCCTTCTACAGCTGACCCGTCGCTGTTCCTGCGCACCGACACTTCGCTGCCGCCGTTCTACATCCTCGTGTACGTCGACGACTTGGTCTTTGCCACTGCTGACACTGCAGGACTCGCCTACGTGAAGTCGGAGCTGCAGAGGAGACACACGTGCACAGACCTGGGTGAGCTGACAAGCTATCTTGGCTTGCGGATCACCCGGGACAGAGCACGGCGCACCATCACCCTGACTCAGTCACACATGGTGCACCAGGTCCTTCAGCGCTTCCGCTTCACGTACTCCTCGCCTCAGTCCACTCCTCTGCCTACCGGTCACTCGCTCTCAGCTCTGCCTTCGGATGAGTCCGTAGAGCCGAGTGGCCCGTATCCAGAGCTTGTGGGCTGCCTCATGTACCTGATGACCTGCACTCGACCTGACCTTGCATACCCTCTTAGCATCCTTGCACGCTATGTCGCTCCTGGCCGTCACAGGAAGGAGCACATGGATGCCGCTAAGAGGGTGTTGCGCTACTTGTGCAGTACGTCGGGCATGGGGCTTGTGCTTGGAGGGCGAGACCGAGTTGTGCTCACAGGGCACTCAGACGCTTCTTGGGCAGACGACCAGGCCACTCAGCGGTCGTCTCAGGGTTACACCTTCAGCCTTGGCTCTGGCTCAGTTTCTTGGCGCTCTACACGCTCTTCTTCTGTTCTCGGCTCCAGTTGCGAGGCTGAGATCTACGCTACAGCCATGGCTGCCCAGGAGCTACGCTGGCTGACCTACCTGCTGACCGACCTCGGAGAGCGGCCTCGTTCTCCTCCAGTACTGTACGTCGACAACAAGGCTGCCATTGCCTTGTGTGAGGAGCACAGACTGGAGCACAGAACGAAGCACATCGCCTTGCGGTACTTCCTTGCTCGTGAGCTGCAGCAGCGCGGTCAGCTTTGTATTCGCTACGTGGCCACTGAGGCCAACACTGCTGATGTGTTCACCAAGGCGCTTCAGCCTCGTGACCATCAGCGCTTCTGCACTCTACTAGGCCTTGTGCCTACTGGACCTCACTTACTTACCTCTTGACTTTGCTTGTACTGTGATCACTATATATATCTATACCTGCATGTTTACTCTTGCTAGGTTGTGATCACTGTATCTCTTGCTCTGTTATAAACCTGCATGTGAACTGGTCTTGTGACCACTAGCTTGTGCTCGGAATTTGTGTGGAATCCTTGAGATCCACCCTGAGCTTGTTGTTGCCTTGCTTTGCCTTGACTGGTCTTGTGACCCCTAGGTCTCCCCCACTTTGCCTATGGGGGTGTGTCAAACATTATACATGTTGTATTTGTGTAGGCTGTAGTGGGTTAGCCTATAGGGGGGTCACAACATTAGGGTTTCATATTTGTACTCACAATCCTTGCTAGTCCATCATTCCAGTCCGTTATTTCTGACAGAGCGGGGCGACAATGTGTCCACCGGGAACGAAGGAAATGGAGGGGGAGATCCAGGATCCGGAGACACACGAGGGGGAGGCGGCGGCGGTTGTGGAGGTGGAGGAACGTGCGGAAGGGGCAGCTCACGAGCAGGTAGCGGTGGCGGAGGTGGACGAGTCACTGCCTGGCGCGATGCCTGGGAGTTTTGCGGCGGAAGAGACGGGGGAGATGGCGCGGGCGGCTGCAGTGACTCCTGAAGTGGAGTGGGCGGCTGTCGAGACGGCCGCTGCCGCTGGCGGCGGCTCTTCTGCACCCTCTGCCACGGCAGCGCTCGCCCCACCGTCTGCTGAGGGCTGGGCACCGGTGGCTGAGACGCCACAGGACAAGGAGACGACACCGCCTCAGCCCCTTGGACAGGTGTCACATGGGATGGCTGGGCCCGCGGCTGTTAGCTCGGCTGTCGCTGCTGCTGAGCTTGGGGAACGAGGCGTGCCGGGCGATGGGGCGGACGCTGAGTGCGGCGAAATGACTGCTGCAGGCGCGGCCGCAGCATCGCGTGGGTGCGGCCGGGGGGGGGGGGGGAGTGATACACAGGGCCGCGCTGACCCTGGCGCCGGAATCGCTTCTCGCGGGACACCCGCGAGGTTCCACGCACAGCCATCGCCGCGGCGGCTTGGATCAGGGCTGGCGCCGGGTCGCCCGGGACCCCTTCTGGGCTGGCTTCTGCAGGGGCAACAGCCACCAGAGCGAATGCAGCCGTCGTCATCTGCAAATGTGCAGGAGGAAGGGGGGAGGGGCGGACAGGATGAGGCAGTGATGGAGACCACAGCAAACCGCGAAGCGGGGCAGAGAGCCTCTAACGAGGGCGACAGATTGCAGGCGAACCCACCGCCAAATGAGACCGCCCCGTATACCTAGGGTGCTGCCACGCGACGCTCAGCAAGGCTGGGAAATGTCACGTGGGGCCCTCCACAAGAAGGCCGCACGCCGTGGATGCCGGCGGGACGAACGGGGCTGGAAGCCACAGCCCAAGCAGCGCAGGCGGCAGGTCGTGGTCTGCGCGGTGCAGTCCGCGGAAGGCGAGGGGGAGGGCGTGGGGGAGTCACGCGCCTAGGGGGAAGTGAGATCCAGGCTAGAACGGGTCCCTGGCGGGAACGCCACGACCGCCCAGAGCGTACGGAGGCTGCAGCCAATGGGGCCGAAGCTGGTTCTGCTGAAGAGAGAGTCGATCCAGATTTTATGTGTGTCGAGGAACCGGGCCCCGAGTCGGAAGAAGTCTCGCTGGATAACGATGAGGAGGTGGGAAGAATTCGGAATCGTGCGAGAGGCGAGGGTGAGGGTGTGGGGTTCCTGCACCAACTGCTGCGGTTACCAACGACGTGAAGTCGCCGGCCACCCTGGCAGCAAATAATGCCATCTGGAGCGAGGCAGCCACATGGAGTTTGGGTCTTCTCGAACGGATGGACCAGCCCTACCTAGTCAGAAGGCTACCTCCCCAGGTGTTGGACAAATACTGCCTTTGCCTCCTCGCTCCACTCCTGCGTCTGTCCACAAATCCGTGCTGTCCAGGTGCATGGGCAATCCTGGTGTACCTCCCGAGGCTCACACTTCGTCCGCCGCCCGAGCCAGTTACAGGCAGCCGATGGGCTGGAATTGAGGCTCGGCTGCATCAGTTTCAGTTGGGAGAGTGGGGGGGTTTATTCGAAGCTGCCTGCACCATCCCCGACACGGGTGCCCCGCTAAGGCACCAAAATAACGAGGAGGGGGTTTGTGCTAGGGCCGAGGGGTTGATTAAAAAGGGTAACATTTCCAAGGCGGTTGCCACGTTGCGTACGAGTCCCCTCGCCGAAGCGAACTTAGCGACACTGACCTCCCTACGCGCGAAACACCCCTCCTCCAGCATGCCGACACCACCCTGGGTTACCGGCATCACCAGTTCCGATATCTCCATCCCACTCGAAGCCCTTCGCAAAATCCTCACGAAGTGCCCAAACGGGGTTGGGGCAGGGCCGTCAGGCTACTGTTTCGAACACCTGCGAGATCCAGCACTGGCAAATGAAGAAATCGTGCTGCTCTTATCAAACGCGGTATCTCGCCTCGCCAGCACTTTCCAGAGCAGAACCATCCGCGAGATTCTCCTCCCGTCCCATCTCATAGCATTGGAAAAACCAGGAGGGGGAGTTAGACCGATCGCAATAGGCGAGGCTCTATTCCGTGTGGTAGCAAAGGCAGGGCTACACAGTTTAGGCCCTCAAATCTGGGAGTTTTTCCTTCCCGTCCATTACGGCGTGGCGGTTCCTGGCGGCGCTGAATGTATCATTCACACTGTCTGCTCCCTCCTCAGAGAAGACGAGACCCGCATAGCGCTTCAACTAGATGTTGAGAACGCCTTCAACAGCGTTGAACGCTCGTCTTTCCTCTCTTCCCTCCAGTGGTCCACGCTCAACCTGCTGCTCCCGCTCGTCAGGAACCTCTACGACGGGCCCTCGCGGCTCTTGGTAGATCCGCGTCTCGACGTAGAACACATTCCGAGCGCAACATCAGCAAGTCAGCGGCGTGGTGCGCTCAGCAAGATGATGTGGAAGTAGAGCTGCCACATGGCCTGCCCGTCCACCCAGGCGGGCTGAAAGTGCTGGGCAGCCCGATCGGCAATGACGGCTTCTGCACCGATCAGGTTCGGACAGCTCTCGTGGAGGTAGCTGAGCCGCTACCCCTGATCTCCCAACTCAACCCGCAGCACGCCCTCCTCATGCTCTCCCGCAGCTCCCGCCGCATTTCGTATCTATTACGCACGACGCCAGTAGAGGCACTAGCCCGTACGAAGTGGAGGGAGTGGAGTGAATCACTGGTGGGGGCAGGGCTCATGGCTTCAAAGCTACGGATCCCGCTGAACGAGCTGGAGCAGAGCCTCCTGTGGCGTCAAGCCACACTCCCGGCTCGGTTTGGGGGCCTGGGAATCATCGATCCCATCTCGAAGGCCCCAGCAGCGTACCTTGCCTCGACAGCCGCGGCTCACCTCCTACTGCAGCAGCTGAACCTGCCGCCAGAGTTCCTTCTTCACAAAGCCGGGGAGCTGCTCTCTTCGACTTGGACCCCACCTCCCCCCCGAGTGAACCCACTGTCCCCGCTAGAGGCTCGACTCCCAGCCCCAGCGGCAGCGGTACTACGCAGCTACAGGGAGAACCCTAAGGGCACGGGAAACCTCCAGCTGGGGCTTTCCAAGGCCATTAACCACACTCGGGCAGAGGAGCTGCTCGCAGATACGGTTACTGACAGACTAGGGGTAGACCGGGGCCATGCCATCAGACTCATCAGTTTGAAAGGGGTGGGGGCTGGTGATTGGCTCCATGCAGTGCCAACGAGGGCTGACCTCTCAATATCCCCTGGTCAGTTCTCCATGGCACTAGGCTTGCGCCTTGGCATGGAACTGCCGGTAGCGGAGGTCTGCCCTTGCAAGAGGTCGAACTCCAGGATTGCCGACAAGAGCCTCCCGAACCACCTGCTTCGCTGTGCTGACGGAGGAGATGCCGTGCGCACCCATAACGCCCTGGTCTTTGCTGCCCTTCGCATGGCGCAAGAAGCCGGGTACAAGACCTTCCACGAGACAACCGCGTTCTCTCCCCCGGTGATGAGCAAGCGGGCTGACCTGGCCATTCGAGACCAGGAAACGGGGGAGACCTGGGCGACGGACGTGACGGTAACGGACCCGGTACTGCAGAGAAGGGATGTGAGGGCGCGAAAGCCACCAGGATGGGCCGCCGAGGAGGCTTCGCAGACGAAACATCGGCTCTACGAAGCGCGCCCAGGCTATGTGGGCTTTTTCGGCCTGGCAGTGGAGACCTATGGGGCTCTGGCGGCTGACACCCAGCAATTCCTTCACATGCTGGCAGCGTATGCTGCAAGGAAGAAATACCGCCAAGGGCGCCTCACAACCACCGCGGCCCACCTCAACGCACACTACCGGCAGCGGTGGTCGGTGATGCTCCAACGCAGCCAGGCGGTGTCTCTCCTCTCAAAATCAAACAGGGCGGCGGAAGCAGCATCCCCACAGGCAGTGGCGGACCCCTGGGCCCCGTGGCTAGGGGACCTCTAGCAGATGCAAGTTGACGAGTACGAGGAGCGTCAAGCTCCCGCCAGGGCGGCCTAGAGGGTTGGGGAGCGTGGGGGGCTGTAGTGGAGGGCTGCATTGACTCAGCTCCATTGACAGCGCGAGCGGCGTTAGGCAGGGAGACCCGCTCGGACCTATGCTCTTTGCAGCAGCCATACAGCCGGCCCTGTTAGCGGCGGCAGTCGCAGTCCCGGGCGCGACGGTGATGGCGTACGCAGACGACATCACCATCATCGGTCACCCAGCAGCCGCGACCAGAGCATTCACCATGATTAGCCAAGAGCTGGGGGGAGTAGGGCTGCGATGTAATCTGGCCAAATCATCAGCGTGGAGCCCGACGAGAAATACAACGGACTTGCCGGAAGGATTGGCGGCAGCGGTGGACGGAGGGCAGGTGCTTGGGAGCCCGATCGGAACAAGAGCGTACTGCAAGCGCACGCTACGCGGATCGCTGGAACGGATTGCTCTGCCTGCATCCCACGACGGATCGCTAAACCTAGTGAGCAAACTAAACCCAAAACACGCGATGCTGCTACTTTCTCGCTGCATATCGCGAAGAATCTCTTACATCCTGCGCACAACGCCGACGGATGTCCTACCCGTCCGAGAGTGGCGGGGGTGGAGCGAGAGGCTGCTATGGACAGCTCTGAGGGCTCCCAAACTCAACGTACCTACGAAGGAGCTGGAGCAGAGCCTGGTATGGAGACAGGCTACATTACCCATCGCCTTGGGCGGCGTGGGGCTGATTGACCCACTATCGGAAGCTCCAGCGGCGTACCTGGCTTCACTAAGGGCGGCGCAGACGCTGCTACAGCACTGCCGCCCTCACCGAAGCATCAGCTGCAGCAGGTGGAGGCGCTAGTGGCGCCAGCAGGGGAGGGAGTGCCCGGAAGGGGAGAAGCGGTGCGGGACATGCGGAACAGATTCCCAGAGGAAGCAAGGGAGCTGCTGAGAGCGCCGGGAGTTGACAGGAAGGGGAGGGGGCGCCTACAGGAACAGCTGTCACGCCACGTGAACCTGACCCGGGCGGCAGAGTTGATTGGGGACACGCGGATTGACAAGCCCGGGGAGGAAAATGGACATGTGGTCCGGTTGATCGCCTTGCAGGGGGTGGGAGCGGGGGACTGGCTCCATGCCATCCCCACACGGGCCGATCTGACGTTCTCGCCGGGCCAGTTTGCCTTGGCCCTGGGATTCCGCTTGGGACTGCAGCTGCCGGTCACCAAAAGCTGCCCGTGTCAGGGGGAGCGGGGAGAGATTGAGGACCTCAGCTTGCCAAACCACCTGCTTCGGTGCGGGGAGGGGAAGGATAGAACGAACACCCACAACACCTTAGTGTACGCGGCGCTTCGCATGGCCAGGGAGGCCGACTACTACACCTTGCATGAAACCACGGTCTACTCGCAGCCCGTCAACCCCAAGCGAGCGGACCTGGCCATCAAGGACAGGGAGTCGGCTGAGACGTACGTGACGGATGTCACGGTGACCGACCCTGTCCTGCAACGCCGGGACAACAGGGCCGTGAAGCCACCTGGGTGGGCGGTAGAGGATGCAGCGAGAGGGAAGAGGGGACTCTATGAGGGGCGTCCTGACTATGTGGGGGTGTTCGGGCTGGCGGTGGAGACATATGGAGCGTTGGCACGAGACACACAGTGGTTTCTTCGGCTCCTGGGCAGACAGGCGGCCAAAAAGAAGTTTAGACAGGGGAGGCTGACCACGGTAGCCGCCAAACTGACGGCTCACTAGTGAGTTCAGTTCACTCTCCAAAACCGCCGGCTCGCGGCGGCCGCCTTCGGCGGCGCGGGGGGTGTGGCAAGATTAGAGGGATCAAAAGGACTATAACAGCAAGGCTTACAACATGCAGCAGTAGCAACCTACGTCACGCAACACCACCCCCTGGCGTGAGTCCTCCGCCATGGGGAAGCCTAGGGCCTGGCCTAGCACCAAGGGGCCGGCAAGGGTAGAACATTGGCTACTTGGAGAGGATCCAGCATAGCCTCCCGTCCATCCAGCGCAGGACGGATGCGGCTGCTGCCACGAGGCCGACGGTTCCTCCCGGGCGGATTCGGCAAGCTGCAGAACGTTCTGGTCCAAGCACAGCCCCAGGAGAGCCCGGCACATGCCCAATCAAGGGGAGGAAATGCAGCAACTCCCTCGCTGCAGACTCCGCCGCCTCCAGCTCCGATGTGTCACCCCTCTATCTTATGACCCTGTCGTGCCAGGCAAAAATGCAGCTGGTCGAGCATGTATGACAGGAGAGTTAAACAACTCCCCACGTTCATTGCGCGCTCTATGACGCCGACAGGGAGACTCCCGCCTGTCGAAGCCCCCCCCCTCCCCTCCCGCGCTCAGGAACCATGGGACGTTGGCGAAGCTGGGGAGGCCAGCATCCCCCATGGGATCGGCACTTCCCGCCCGCCAAGGAAGAGCTGGGGGTACGAGTCAGCACCATGACCAACCTGAGAAAGGGGGATGTGCGGGAGGGAGGAGACGGTGGGGCTGGAGGCAACGGAGGCGGCAGCTGGGACTGCAGTTGAGGCCGCGGCGGCTGTGGTATAGGAGACTGCTGTTGGCGTGGTGCTTGAGGCTGCTGCTGCTGCTGCGACGGTGGCAGGGACTGTAGTGGACCTGGTCCTCTGCCATTCCCCAGGCTGCACCACTGCCACCTGAGGAGCAGAAGCGTTTGGTGGATGAGGGACGGTCGGTGGAGGCGGAGGTGGCTGCATCCTCGTCGCCTGTGGAGGCAGACGTGATTGCGGGGGTTGTGACCGCCGCAGTAGGGTGGCGAGATGGGGGGGATGGGTCTGTTGCCGCTGCGTCTGCCGGAACTTCTGCTGCTGGCGCGGGCGCAAACACTCAGGAGCGCGGTGAGACGACGGGGGATAGACAGGATCGTGGGAAGGGTTTCGCGACTCCCTCCTCCCGCGGGAAGGCTGGGAAGAAGCCCCGTGCCCAGCCAGCACCGAGGCGGCTTGGAGCAGGGCTGGAACCTGGGCCCCCGGGACCCCTCCTGGGCTGGCTACGGCAAGGGAAATCGCCACGAGAGCCAGAGCGTCCGTCGCCATCTTAAGGTGGCACGTCGGCGAGGACTCCCACCGCACAAGGCGCGGCGCTGGAGGCAAATACACAGGCGCCAGAGGACTTGGGAGGCGGTCACGTGGAGCCGATTGGTGCGCCACCACCAGTGGCAGCGGGGGCGGCAAGCAGCTGGTGCAAGTGTGGCAGCGACAACGGACGGCACCAGGCGCTCGGCTAGACTTGGGACGATAACCTGGGGACCACCACGAGGTGGCCGAACAACGTGGATGCCGACGGGCCGCGGAGGCAATGCCACGGCGGAAACGGCAGGCGCTACAGGACGGGGGAACCGCGGGAGCCTGCGCGGAGGGCTGCGGGGAGGCAGGGGAGGGCGCAACTTTCCGCCCAGACCGGAGATCTCGGTTAGGGCTGGTCCTTGGCGGGAACGTCACGATAGGCCAGAGCGAGAATTGCCACGGACGAATGGGGAGCCAGAGGTTTCTGATAACTCTGGTACTGACCCAGAGTTTATGGCTGGGAATGAAGAGACGTCGGAAGAAGTTTCCCTGGACGACGAGGAAACCCTACCCAGAAGGAATAACCCGGGACCACAGGCAGGGGAAGCGGCGGAGGGAATCGCACGGGAACTAGGAGAGGCTACCACGGAGGACACCGATGTCCTCTCGCCGGCCGACCTGGCTAGCGACGATGCCATCTGGCTCATGGCAGGGGAAAGGAATGTGGACTTACTGCAGCGAGGCGACCAGCCTTTCCTCGTTCGCCGGTTGCCACCACAGCTCCTAGAGAGATACTGCCTATGTATGCTGGCGGCCCTAATTCGCCTGGATAAAAACACCAGCTACCCAGGGGGATGGACGGTACTGTTGTTTCTACCAAGGCTCACCCTGAGGTCAACACCTGAACCTGTCGTGGGGAGTCGTTGGGCAGCAATCGAAGCGCGGCTGCACAAATTCTAGCGGGGAGAGTGGGGCTGATCTTTTTTATGAAGCAGGGGACATCGCCGCCACAGGAGCCCCGATACGACACCAGGCGGATGCGGAAGGGGTTTGTGCTAGAGCGGAAGGGTTAATGAAAAAGGGTAACATTTTGAAAGCAATAGCGGCTCTACGAACGAGTCCCCTCGCGGAGGCAACCCCTGCTACACTCGAAGCACTGCTACCGAAGCATTCTGCAGCGGAGACTCAAATCCCCGTGTGGGTTACCATAATCACAGACTCGGACCTCGCTGTCCCGCAGGACACGCTCCGCGAAATTTTAGCGAAGTGCCCGACTGGTGTCGGCGCCGGGCCTTCGGGCACTTGTTTCGAACACCTGAGAGACCCCGCTTTGGCTAACGAATAACTGCTGCTACTAAACTCTTTCCAAGACATCCACGTGAGGAATCTCCTTCTGCCCTCCCGCCTCATTGCACTGGAGACACCGAACGGCGGGGTAAGGCCAATAGCGATTGGCGAGGCCATACTCCGCGTAGCGGCAAAGACAGCGCTTCACACATTATGCTCCAAAATCAGAGACTTCTTCTTGTCAGTGCAGTTTGGCGTAGCGGTCCCGGGGGGAGCAGAGTGTGTCATTCACACCATTCTGTCAAACATTATATATGTTGTGTTTGTTTAGGCTACAGTGGGTTAGCCTATAGGGGGTACACAATTCTAGGGTTAGGTACTTGTACTGATTTCACTGTTAGTTCAATCATTCCTGTTCGTTCATTCTGACATGGTATCAGAGCAGGTCCTTCACTAGGACCGTTTTAGGGCCCACCGCTACCTACCTACCTACCTACCGTGCGCCCTCGTGCGCCCTCGCGCCCTCGTGCGCCTCTTACTACCGTGCGCCCTCGTGCGCCCTCGCGCCCTCGTGCGCCTCTTACTACCGCGCGCCCTCGTGCGCCCTCGCGCCCTCGTGCGCCTCTTACTACCGCGCGCCCTCGTGCGCCCTCGCGCCCTCGT